TCATGTGGTTGCCGACTGCTCAGTTGAAAGGGCCACGTGCCAGCATTTCTCTTCCAAGCCGTGGGGGGGATCTTTCTGCTTGTGGCAGATTACTATGGTATCATCACGAGTGATTTCAACAATCTTACTACTGGAATGATTGTGCAGGAATCCTTGCTGAAGCAAGTAGTTAATCAAGTAACTTGTGGTGATGTATTTGACAAAATATTAACTGATTAAAATGATGACTATCGCGAACCTGTCCTTGCTGCCACTATCGCTACAAGTGATCATGCTCTCATCGTGTATCAACCCAAAATAACTATTCCAAATGAAGAATCTTCCACAGTTCCATTTAGACCTTTTCAGGACTTATCTGTTTGTAGTTGTGGACAGTGGATTAACACAGATGAATTGGTCAAACTCGTATGAAATGAACGACCAGGGCTAATCATGGTTGAACATGTTTGGCAAACCACTGGTATCAATTATAGATGGCACTTTGTGCCTATTACAGTTGAGTGGAGACCTCATGGCAAGTCATGGTTTGATGATGAATTACATAGATTCATCGAAAAATGTGATACTGCATTAAAAAAATTGTAATAATTCTAAAGAATTACATAACAGAATCCAAAGAATGATTAAGTTAGCTAAAACTAAATTTTACAATCACAAGATTGCTCACTTGAGACAGTGAGAACCCAGGAAATGGCACCAGCAAATTTGGTAAGTAGTGGGTCTCAAAAACAAGCTCTTATTCTTACTTTTAACGGTAAAACCGACATTCATATCGCCTGTGAGATAAACATTCTGCGATAATTTGTTCAGGTCTTCTGTCTCTAAACCATGTCGTAAACCATGGTGATACAATCCACTGAATGGACACGTTCTTTACACACGAACCAAATCTGAACCATCTGGTCCCATGTACATGTATGACGGGGCTGAGCCCCCCACCAGCATTTTGGGTGTACAGGCAGGATCCTGCCTCTACCCAAATGCTGGTAGACATAGATGGAATGATGCCTTCAGGAGGATTTGGAGCAGGCAGGGCTTTACAATTGGACAAGGGGATACACGAGGGCAGTGGATGGCAACGAGTGAAAACTTCAATCAATGCAGAAGCGACGGGAGGGCAGTAGCAAACAGCAACCCTTGATGGCTGGAAAGCTGTGGACACCATTCTGTGCAAGTCTCCACTCCTACCATGCCTACACAAAGCTGAAAAGAGCTGTGCGCTGCTCCCTGCTGTGCACCATAACATAGCACAGATTGCACTGTTGGATGAAGTGAATACAGACACACATCCTCCCCCTGCTAGTGTTACCAACCTTCCTTTGTTTTAAGTTCAGAAAACACTGTGAAAATACTCGCTTTTCTTGAACTTAGACACCATTTCCAGCTAGATTTTGGAGAAGAATTTATTTCCTTGACTATTCCTTTCATGTTGATGACCATGAGCCCGAAATGCCTCTAAAAGTGCTTTCCAGAGAGGGGGTAACCTTGTGTGGACCTGACTCAGTCCACACAAGGTTTGCACAACCTGCATCACATGGACCTCTTTCGTTCATGGGTCCTCACTAGGTATGTATGGTTTGCACATCCATATTTGAAGAGGTGTAGTTGCCAACTTTATGCTGTGAACTTGTAGCACTGATTGAGTCCCGGTGCTCGTAGCCCATCACTCAATGTTGGCTCNGAGAGTCTTTGCAGAAGTCTGTTTTTTCTTTTCCCAGTGTTACATGTACGTAATTCAAAACTGGGGGAAAGTTCGAAAACTTTGGGGAAAAGTTGTCATCAAGATGATCTGAAAATGGTTCCATAAATTTTGTTCCTTTCCTGAAGTTAACCTTGAGCACACCTACTCAAGCAAGGTGCTGCGCATCAATCTCATTATTACTGTGCTTACATGCACGTCTACCAGTCCAATCATGTCTCTAAATCTAAACATTCTCAGCTCACCAGGGAATATGTAGGCCTACAGTACAGAGTATTTTGTACAACTCTCTGCTGTTATCATGATTACATGTACATGTACATCAGGTGGAAATGGTTCACAGGTGTATCTACATGTATAAACTTCTCAATTAAAGACAAGACTTCTTTTCCTATTGTGTTTTACTCTTCTGTTTTTGTTTAATGTATAACAAGATTACATAGAAGCTACAAGTACTGTGCAAGTGCAGGCAACTTTGAAAGTGTTTGTGTCAACAATGTACACCTGCAGCTCAAATGTTCAACCAAAGTATCTGTTTTACACCTATGTAAGTGGCATGTCTGATGTTTGAAAAAAGTCATGAACACTGTAGCTGCAGTCTTCACTTGTGTGAACACTCCCTTTATGAGCCACACCATTCTGGCAGGATACATGTATGTACTGAAAAGCGGGATATTCTCATCTTCCTCTATAAATTCATTTTGGAATTTGATGTGACTTCATCAGCATTGCCTTTGGCAACCCATCGCATGCAGTGCCATAAAAAATCCATAAGAATGGGCCTGTAGAAACAATCGAGCATAGTTCACAAAGTGACTCGCACACAAACATGGAGGGAACAGGCCTAATGAATTTGGCATAAAATGTTACTTTTATTTGTAATGAGTTCACAGGAGATGGAATTCTCAATTAGGCCTACGCACCACGAATGAGACCACTCCCAGGGAAGTGCTGACGACCCCTGCAGAAAATGACCTGCCACCCATCACAGATTGTGGATACATGTACTGTACACATGTACACTACAGGAACTGGTTTACCTTGCAATACAAATATTTACCACATGTCAAATGCACAAGGAAGTAGTGCTAGAATTTCCGTTTACGGATTCATTCGACTATACATGTACATGTAGTGTTCATTAGGAACGTTCTCATGGGTATTCTGGATAGTAAATTTTGAGTGATACAATACCCACTGTGAGCTAATTCTGGGGAGGTTGAGGTGTCAGGATTTTTCTCACAATTGCACCCTTTCCCTCCCGACAATCTTGGTAATCTGTCGTCTTGTGACACACCTCTTTGATATTTGAATTTTTCAAGTTTTGAATTTCCTTATTTGATGCAAACTCTGATCTTTCCTTTTATTACCTACTGGTAATCTTCCATTATGCTTATCTAATCATCAAAAAAAGGGGGAGAAAAGGATGTTTGAGAGTCAAGGATGGCATGTTTACATGAACATGAATGAGGCTGGTCTGAAAAAAAAGTGAATACCTCAATATTTTGACTGGTAAATCTGACTTTTTGGGGATTTTGTTGCATTCAGGTGGCTAAATAGGTCAATGCAGGGAAAAATCAGTGGCATCCGTATATATGGAATCCCCCCCTTGGAAGAGGCAAGAATCAACCCCTCCATTGACGAGTTTCCTCTCCCCTCAAAAAACTCCCAAATTTGGAAAGCTCTCAGCAAAATCCATGAGTCATGAGACAAACTCTGAGACAAACTCTGGCTGCTCCCCCCCTCCCAAAAAAACAAGTATGCCACAGACCAACTCCCTTCGCAATTTTTCAAAGTCAACATAGTCTAGCTACCAGTATCTACAAATACAAATTCAGTCTTGCATGCTTATAATTTTTTGATTACAAGTAAAAAAAAGGCGGATCAATATCACAATCTAAGCGTGATCCCTACTTAGCGCACGTGCGCTAGCACGGTGTTCCAGATCTACCTGTACATGTAGAGCATTGGTCTATCCTGTTCATCAAGATCATCACACCTGCAATTTAATCCTCTTTTTTTTTGCCTAAATTATCAAGATATGTGTTACTGGTTCATGTTAATGAAACTCAGATCTCTACAATATTGTGTATTTACATGTATACATCTTTAACCAATAAAAATCTACGAACACATTGAACACTTCCTACATGTAGAGATCACTGATGAACTTATTCCCATACAAGCACCCTGCATAACGCCGGCTATGCATACCGAGGTTATTCTTATAAAATAGCAGGCTGTTTTGCAAATTTATGTTAATAAATTCAAATATGAACAAACAATGACCATTTTAGGGGTTAGTAATACTTAGGGGGTTATTGGTCAGTCTAAAGCCTCCGATACGACAAAAACAAAAGTGCATTTTTTATCAGCAGGCAGGTTAAAGCTGGGTTACCAGTCACTGCCTGTGTAGCAAGCATGCAACAGTCTTTCACTGGAAATCGTACATGCATAGTGCATATGCGCCGCTCGGATTTTTGTACATGTATGTGCAAGCACTTTGTAACTCGAGAACAGATGAAATACATCTACAACAGTGATGCATGGTAGGCTAATGTCTCTGAGTTTTTTTTCCTGGATTTTGCAGCTAAAGTACGTTCTGAAATGAGCTAATTTCCTGTCCCGTCACCATGCTGATTTTAGAGCCCCTGCGTAAGTGAACAAATCTAGAAGGGAACAAACTGTCTACAACAATTTCAATTGCGAGCATCCATTCGCCAAATGTTATGCAACCTTGTCATGATTTTTCCCCGCTGTAGGTAGCTAGTAGGCCTACTAGTACTGGTACACTACATGAAATGTGAAAAGGACTTATTCCTTATTTAACTCCATGTTTAACCCCTCCCCGGACGGACGGGTAAAGTCATGACTTTAAAGTAAAGTCAGAACATGTAGGCCTAAGCCTAAACGTGAAATTAGTTTCAACAAGGTAAACCAAGAACAAATTAGAACCAAATTTTTGGTCGTCTTGTACACAAATCTTGGAACCTGGACGTCAGTCGTAACGTACATGTATTAATGAAGACTGACGTCCAACCTGGGCCACCACCGCCACGACCGCACATAACGTTTGGCCATGGCTTATAGCCTGCCCTGCCTGCCTGTACCGCATCGCACAGTCCAACCCGGAAATAACAGCCCGATAAACTGAGCTTTGCAAATCCGAATGCAAGTACTGTACAATGTTATAGCAGTATTAAGGCTTCCCTGAAAACCAAAACGGAAATATCCCGATTACACTAGAAGTAACGTTTAACGAGATCAAGCTTTTGCAAATTGTCTAAAAACAAAATCTTACTCTGCCATGGTGTTGCTAATGATGACGACTGCGTTGTGTGGATGTTGTGGCAACGTCGGCTTGATGCTGCTTTTAGGAGATGGCCCGGTGGGTAGTTTGAATGAAACTTAAAAGGACCGCAATACTGTTTCCCAGCGACCGTGGAGCCTTATCACGTAAGTGCATTGACGTGACAGCGTAGAAAAAGAGCCCACCGCGCTGCTCGTAATGGGCCTCCTGCAGCCTGTCCTGATTGCCTGGCAGTGGTACACCGGCGCGCAGGCTAGGCGTGGCCGCGGGTGTTAATTTTGCAGAGTCACATTTTGCGCGAAATTGAGCTAAGGGATAAAGGGCGACCTCTTACGACATCAGTAGGTTAAAACAAGTTTGTGCCCACTTGAACAACTGCCAAAATATGCCTTTTTCCCCCAAACAAAAACTCCGACGTATTTGCATAGGATTAGCAATTACATAACAACTTCACTTGTCGGTTTCATCTAGATGCCGTTCCTTCACGAGGCAATGTTATGAACTGCCTAATTGACAACCCTTGGTGCTGTCCGAGTCCATGCTTTCCATTCTACTGTATACATCGAAAGAAATTAAACAGACATTTATTCACAAGTGTTAAAAACTTGCGAAATAACTGGGGGTTGTAAATTTTCTACAAGCAAATTTTGGCCTGTCCTATGGACAGACGAACTTCATGGGCCATGAACAGAGAAAAATTCAGAAAATAAAATGATCAACTGTTTGAAAGTTTACTGGCATTTATAATACCAAAAAATTTAATTCATATATATACACACACAAACCAACTAAACAAGCCATATGAGATCAGATCTCCATGGAATAATTACTCTGTACAAACATCTCTGATTTCATGATTTGTTAATCAAAATCAATTAAAATATGGTGAATATCTTTGTATAAACTAGGTAAGCAACATGAGATGCCATTTCAGGTCTTGCATTTCTGATGTTAAAAATGATAAAGATGAACAAAGAAATTGACTGGAGAAGGATTTGAACCTGTGGCCTCTGGATTACCGTACCAGTGCTCTACCAACTGAGTATCCAGCCCTATATGTTGATGACTCTTCCTATTTGTCAAAATCTTTGTTCGCGGGGCGCTAGCCAGAAGCCAATTAAACCTGAAACACCATGTAGCCAGGGATCACACCCCAATAACACGCATTTGTATGTAATTGCAGTGCCTCCATGGTAATTTGCTTACATGATTATTCCATTTACGATATTCACGTTGAAGGCAAAAGGTTTCGAGTTGATTTATGACAGCTGATTTGAAAACGCATCCCAAGGG